ACAAAGCAACACTCTGGGGATTTTTCTGATGAGGAAAAAACATTTTTAAATTTTTTAAAACAAAAAAAAAAAAAAAAAAAAAAAGTAAATTTCACACTATGCTTCACCTTTACAAAACAAAACTTAAAATATGGTCAAAATACCAGAGGATAAAACCTGTTGTGCAGCCTGTCCATGTGGGACAGGCTGCACAACAACTTCACAGGGAGCCTGTTGTGTTCTCATGAAGAAGGAGCTGGTCTTTTTGTTATTTATAGCTTTTTGTTAAATAGATGTTTTTTCAGAAACATAAAACTTGTTGGTTCCACTGTTTCCACATTTTAATGACTAGTGTGTGACTGCATCAGGACACACCTAGATTTCCTAAAAAAAAAAAATGTTCCAGAATGTCATCCCTTAGAAAAACCACCATGTGGTTCCAGCTCCGGGTAATGTGGATGTGTCACTACATATTTAATTGTAGTTGCAAACTTTTGCAACCACAACAATTTTTTTTGAGGATCTAATCAGAACTGTTGTGGGAGTGAGAACATTTCTCAGGTATATTTCATAAACATTAGCTGCATAACTGTAATAAAACACAGCTGAGTGCTTAGTAGCTCTTTTCATGACATGTGAGAGGCAAATAATTAAACATTTTCTATGTAGCCACGTTTTTGAGACTTTAAAGCTTTAAAGGCCAAGAATAATTCTTTCATATTTATTCTTGACATGTCAAGAATATATATGAGAATATTTTTAAGCCTGGTATGTGGACAAAATGTTGCCTACAAATGAACTGTACTAATTTTACGTTGTAAACGTTATTTAAAGTTAAGTTAAAATTCATCAAGTGCCGTCCTTCATTCGTGGGGCATGCTACAGCTTATATGACTTGACTTGATAACACTTTTTTTTCTTTTTTTATAAACATACAATCTTTGGTAGATGTATGGAACAGTGCAACATGGATAGGAAAATAAAAAGAAACAGAAACACGAGATGAAGACGACAACAAATGGAAGACCAGCAAACAATTTGATAGAGGGGCTGTGGCAGCAAGCTGAGGGAAAAAGGGTGAGGAGTAAGCGCATGCGCGGAGCAAGCGGCGGAAAGCCAGTCCGTCTGCGTGTGAACCAGTAGAAAATCTTATCATACCATTTTATTTATAAAGCACTTTATACACTAACAGGACCAAAGTGCTGTACACAATTTTAAAATACAAAATGCTGGTTGGTTTGGATAGATTTTCCCCCACCAGTGAACAAAATCATAATTTAAACATTTTGCTTTATATTTATTGTGATTATTTCTGTGTATTAACACATTTTTCTTATATCTGAAACAGACCATTTGGATTTTTTTTTTTTTTGAAAGACAAGGTAAATATTGCTGAGTCAACATCCTGGCTGACTCCTACCTTCCCCGTATTTAGAACAAAATACGGGGAAGCAGCTTTTAGTTTTTATGCTCCAGCCCTCTGGAATAAGCTTCCGGCTCACTGCAAATCTGCCCCAACTTTGAGTTTATTTAAAACAAGGTTAAAAACATTTCTTTTTGAAGTTGCCTATTCTTGAATTTTTTTTTTTTTTGTGTGTTTCTTGTCTGATTGGTATTGTTTCTCTGTAAAAGCACTTTGAATTGTCTTTGACTGAAAGGTGCTATATAAATAAAATTGCCTTGCCTTGCCTTGCCTACCAAAGAAGATTGAGTCTTCTTGATTGCTTTACATAATGCTTTGTTTCTCAGTATAGTATTGGGCAGGATGAACAACATATTAAAGATGGAAAAAGGTTGAAAATATCAATTATTAACATGATGATTTTCATGTGAAATTTAGAACTTCGACAATTTATTATTATTATTATTATTATTATTATTATTATTATTAAAATATATATATTCTCATTTTTTTAACCAAGGTTAATCTATACCAAGATATTTATTTTTCAACGCTTAAAATTAAATGTTTCATACTGCAGTATCAAAGTATTTCCGCATTCATAAGCTTTTATCTAAATTGTCTGTTTCTTATTGTTCAAGTTGAGTGCCATGGAAACCAAAGGGGGAAACTGCCGCGTGCATTACACAACTGACGTATGCGCATGCACGGACTACGGACAGGTAGTCTCGGGGTGTGTCCTCCAGCGACCGAGAGCTTATCAGACATTTTTTAAAGAGGAAAGATCAAGTAAGAGACGACCAGAAGAAGAATTTCGAGTCTTGAGCGCACAGACATGGATTCAAAGTGGATATTGTCGCTTCTGTTAGTTATCGGCTGTGCTTTTGCTGTTAATGCACAAGGTAAGTCAAACACAGTTTTCTTTGTGTTATGTCGACGTTTTATGGATATAGAGGGTCGCGAGGCACGACTTTTACTGATCAAAGAGCAAAGAGGCTGCAATAATAAGGTTAATGTTTTATGTTAGGACCTCATATAGAGTCACTTAGTAGGATTTTAGTTTTCACATTTTTGATTTGGTAAATTACAAAGAAACTACAATCTGCCTAAGCAAGAAAATAACCATAGTAACTACTATTTATTAATTCTTTTGTAGTTTTACAGTTTTACAGTTTTAAGTAAAAGAACGTGCAGCTTTCTATATATATACATACGTGTATATGTATATTTACATATATACATATATGTGTGTGTGTGTGTGAATATATAAGAAAAATTTATATAATGTAAAAAGCAAATGATATACTCCCCGCCATCAGCTGCTCTGTGTGATCTAATAAGTGTCTCCCTTTATTGTTGAGAAATTTAGGTGATTTATTTCAACATCATTACTGATAGTTTGTTGGAAATTTACAGCATTTGCTCAAAAGACTGTCCTACGACCTTTCCATGGATTCAATTTTGGGGTGCACTGATAGCAGTTTTCTGATCAGTCACACATTACCGATATTTAAAAAGCCTAAGCTGCCGATTCCAAAGTTGGCCAATACTATTTTTTTTGTCTGAAATGTGACTATTGTTAACTGCAAATGTGCAGGAATGACCTGGTGGGCCGCTCTGTCAGTCAGACTTCTCTCATGGCAGAGCAAAACAGGACAGTGGTTGAGTTTTAGATGTTTGTTGGTCTAGAAAAGATCGGTAGATAAGATCGGCTTCACACGTAAATATCGGCCAATCACCAATCTCCCAAAATTAAGAAAACTGGTGCCGATAAGTTGGTGCATCCCTAATTCTGTTCTTGATTTTGTGGTGTGTTTGGGTCTGACATCCCTCTGCATGACCCAGTTTCTCCCAAGCTTCAGCTGATAGTCTGATTGCCTTACATATGATTGCAGAAAACCTCACCTCCTTGTTTTTACAGTCACTGAAATGTGCATAGTGTCCTGTGTCTGGAATACCAGCCCATATCACGCCTCTATCACCACCATTCTTTTTCGAAGGTACAAAGTGTTTGTGCGGTAGAAGCCAGTCATACTTGTTTGATGCTTTTATGAAATTCCGTCTTAGACTGTAACCTAACGCGATAATGGACCGTATTGTCTGAGATGGAGCTTGATTTCCCTCTCAAATTGTTTATGGGTTTCATATTTCCTAAATAAACACAATGAAGTATATTATGTTTAAACATGACTGTAGCTGCAACTACAGTCATGTGTTAAACATTAATGCAAAGTCATTTATATGTAATCTTTTAGAAGTATTCTTGTCATTTTGGCTGAGAACTTCATACAGGTCCTGTTTGAAGGAAGACATTCAGCCTTGCCCTACCACCGCCGAATTAATTCTGTTCCTAAAGTTACTTTACTGTCTTGTTTTTAGGGATTAACATCAAAACCTTCTTGTCTGTCTATGAAAAAATATAAGTATCAATTGAAGTCAAGAGATTGGAATTGGAAAGCCATAAGCAAACCACTAACCAGTGAGGGGAACCAGAGGAATGTATTATACCATACATAAATCAGCTTTTACTCTAACATCTCTTTTATCTTTGTCTATTTCAGGCCGAAGTTTTATTGGTATAAAGACTGAGGATGGAACGACTATCGATGATGTAGCATTAGCTACCCTGCAGAGCGGGCTTACCACCGTGTTCTTCCCGATCATCTACACCGTTGTGTTCGTGGTGGGGCTAACTGCAAATGGGATGGCCATATGGGTGTTCCTCTTCCGGACCAAGAAGAAGCACCCTTCCTCCATCTACATGGCCAACCTTGCCTTAGCTGACCTGCTGTTTGTTGTCTGGATGCCTCTGAAAATTTCCTACCACGTAAACGGAAACAACTGGCTCTACGGGGAGCCCCTGTGCAAAGTCCTGGTGAGCTTCTTCTATGGGAACATGTACTGTTCGGTGCTCTTCATCACCTGCCTCAGCGTGCAGCGGTACTGGGTCGTGGCAAACCCGATGAGTTCACAGAGGAAGAACAACACAGTCGCTATCAGCGTCTGTGTGGCTGTCTGGGTTTTCATTTGGATCACCTCCACTCCTCTGTACCTGTACGATCACACAACTAAGATCAAGGGCACAAACATGACAACCTGCCATGATGTGATCGTCATAGGTCAAGATGGCAAAGATCTATACGAATCTATCAAGTACCCTTTCTTCTACTTCCTGTTCATGGCAACAGTCTCATTCTTCATCCCTTGCATCGTAATCATTGTGGCGTACGCGTTGCTGCTCAAAACTCTGGGGAGCAATACGGTCGACAGCAATGCAACAAAGACACGGAGAAAAGCCGTCGTGTTGATTTTGGTTGTCCTGGTGACCTTCCTCATTTGCTTCATCCCCAGCAACATAATGCTGGTGGTGCACTATGTCCTGGTGAAAACCGAAATGGAAGACAGAGGCTACGGCTTCTACATCACGTCACTGTGTCTGGCGAGCCTCAACAGCTGCCTGGACCCTTTCATTTACTACTTTGTGTCGGAGGAGTTCAGGGAGCACGTGAAGAACACGCTGCTGTGCCGCAGCAGCAGAGCCGTGGAACAGGAGAAGGCCGCGTACAGCTCAATGACGTACTCCAAGAAGAACCGGTCGTTCATGTCAGGGAGCAACAACACGGAGAACATCACCTGCTAGCGACGGAGCACAGACTGCGGGTGCTTCCACTCTTCTGCACTGATGTTGTCGTCCATCGTGAACCCGACCAAAGATGAACTCTGAACCTTGATAGGACTGCAGCTTGGGATGTGTGACTTTATCAGGAGGTGCTCAGCGTTAAACTGTGAATCATTATATGTTTTGTTTTATGTTATATTAAATAAATGGATGCAAACATGTGCAGGTCATCTGTTAAAGACTGATGTTGGTGGCATAAGATGCATTAAGTTGGATTTTCCTGGACAACAAAGATTTCCAATGTTTGAGGTCAGATCTGCCGATTCTAATGTGTGTGTGTTTTTTAACTGTCGGTTTTGAATCAAACATGAAATGAAAATATTACGAGATTATTAACACTTATTCATTAAATCTGATATTTATATCCATTCTCAGAAAAAGTCCTGCTGTTGGTTGATGAGTTTATAGATTGGAAAAGGTGGACATTTCTGTTTTCAAAGGACCTGATGGATATACATACAAAAAAAAATTCTGTATTTATCAATTTTATAGCCGGTTGGTGCATCTTTTTATTTATACAACACTGGAAATAAATTTAAGTTGTATGTATTAAACAGCTACAATTACTCAGTCTTATTACTAGAAAATATAAAAAAAAAATACATATATTTTTTTTACACCTTTTTCATTAAAATTTTCTTGTTGCTGTTTTAACTAATTTTAAACCTTTTGTTGTTAAGCTTTTGATTGTTACATATTTTCTTAAATAAACAGAACAGAAACAGGGTTTCTGTGAAACTCCATTGTCCCGTTGCGTCATTTTGTTGTCCTGCGTGAGTCACGGGCCTCGTTGTCATCCGGCAGTCGGACGTCCTTTTCTTAGCTCACTTAATCTTTCAAAACCCTTGGAATTTCTGGAATGTGCTGTGTTGAAATGTAGGGCACCGCAGCACCTAAAAGCTGGTCAAAGATCAAGGGATGGTGAGCTCGGGGTTGAGGAATGTCAGAAGGCATGATGAGACACATTTTATAGACAAAGTCGTCATCTTTCTGGTTTCAATTTCTTCTGCATTTAGAAACTTGTGTGTAGATCTGGGCTTTCTTGCAGCTTTTCTTCCTGCTGTTTGTTTTTAATGTCACAATTTCAACATTTTACGGCTTCCACGTTCTCCTCAGAGTCATTCTTTCCCAAAACAACAACAAAAAAAGGCCTTGGTACTCCATTTATGGTCCTTCACGTTAAGAGAATCGGCAAGTGAACTGCGCTCGCCACACCTTTTGCAGGGCCCACCATCCCACAGAGAGCTGCCAGGTTCCTGTTTTAACGACCGGTCGGGGCAGAGCTGTGGGTAAATCATTGGCTGTGGAGTTTCACCTTACCTTTTGTCAACGCTGCGGGGCAGAAGGCCTTCCTTTCAGAGCGGAGCCACGCCCTGGTCACGTTTGACGCAGCTCCTTTTCCAAGCACAGTTGTGGTGTAATGGAACAGAACTGCTGGAGGTTATTTAAAAATTAGAGTAGCACTGTGTCACACATAGCACGTCCGCAGAGGTTTTTGTGAAACAAACCAATGTAAACCAACCTTCTTTGTTGTAGCTGGATAATGTGTTATTTCTATGCACTGCTATTTATTTACCTTCTGTCATTAGTTATGGTCAGCATATGTTTTTGTATGGACTGATTACTTCTGTTTTGTTGTATTTTAAAATGTTCAACCAAGGACTGGGATCGCAAACAAGCCTTTGACTAGATAGTTTTTGTCCAAAACGATGGCTGCATTGTTTTGTCATGCAACAATGCTTTATCTGCTGTCCTTGACTGAAAACATTTAACTGTGTTTCTACTAAAGAAGCTCCACTAGGAGCTTGTGAACATGTTAATGTAGGAGAATGTGAAATGGAATCAGAAGCGATGACCAACTTTTCCATTTTATCCTCCAAAACAAGCTTTTTACTGACTTAATATGTCGGTTGTCTTTTTGGTTTGATTTTGACACGTGTATGTTTACAGAATTGGGTAACACTTTATTTGAAGGGGAGTGCATAAGACTGACATGACACTGTCATAAACATGACATAACACTTGTCATGAACATAAACAAGTCTTTATGAATGTTTATGACAGTTTTACTGGTGAAACCTGGGAGGAAACCAATAAATTGTCCAGCTAAATTCAACCTCATTTAGTTTTTGAACTTGATGCTGCAAACATAATGGAAATATTAACTTTTAATTTTTATTTATCTTCCAAATTATAATCATGCTGGTAATAGAAAACTGAAAAAGAGCTATATTGAGTTTTCTGACACAAATGGACACAGATACATATCCATTCACAATGGGCGTGTTTTTTTATTGTAGGAAACTGTAACACTAAACAAACTGTCGGAGAGGAAAAACTGTCTTTGAAAATTGGTCATGAGTTATTTGCTTTATTGTACATATCTGGAGTTTCATTATCAAATTTTGTTTCACTTTTAGCTCTTTTCAGAGCTTTCAGTTAATATTAATAATTTCAGCAATGATCGAATTTTAAAATGTCAATCTTTCCCTTCAGTGTCATTTTTCAATTTTGGCATCATTTTAGCCCCATACAAAAGTAGCCCCAGATGATAACACACTACTATTGTGAAGTTTGACTGTAAATATCATGTTCTTTATCTGAAATGCTTCTAGTTTTACACTTGATGTAAAGAGAGGCACACCTTTGAAAAAGTTCTTACTTGATCCCATGATCATTTGTCATGTGTTTCCGGTCCATTGTTTCACCTCCGTGACTTCTGATAGACATATTTGTACACATACTACTGCTAACATTACATCATATAACGGAGGCTCGCCTGCCACAGACTCAGGGATGAAGACTTTTCCTTACTGTTCAGATGTAGCTTCACTCAGGTACATAGATAATGGGTGAGACTTTCAGACACTCTGGCGTGTCCTAACAGCTTCCCACAACACCAGAAACCTGTTCAACCAGTTCTGACCCAGTCACCATTGAATGGTGGTAAACAACAGGTGGCACAAGGTGTTTCGATTGCCTGTGAGTCATTTTTATGTCCGATGAGTCACTTAGTTTTTGTGCAACCAAATATGGTCTAAAATTAGAGATGTGTTTTTGTTATTCAGGTTAATTTCACAGTCTAATTTAGGGATTGGAGTCATTTTTTTTTTATGCGGATGTGTGTATATGTGTGTGCAGAGAGGGTGACTTCTGCTGGCTTCAGAAAATAATGCAGGTTTATGAAAAAGTGTAGCAACTAATCAGTGTTAAAAGTGAAGTCCATAGAATACCCCCTGTAGCAATAATTCATAATAAAATTACCCAAGTAAAACTAAAAAGTACAATGTAGTAAAAAATACTCTTAACAGTAGATTTTTTCCAAAAAGTTACAGAAGTATATGTGCTCTGTAACTCTTTGAGTGAGAAATGAACATTTCAATAAGTGCAGCCACGTGGTTTAATTATATGGTGAAAAAAGCGACTAATGTGTATATAGTCAAATGAATCCTAGAGATTTCTGCAGTTTTAAGTTTCCAAAATATTCCAAACTATTTTTATTTCCACTTGCAGACTTCACATTCATAATACGCCTCCCTGTGAGGAGCCTCATTAAGAGCGCTTTCAGCTAGAGCGTTTTGTCTGGAAGCAGACTCACGGATTAACATTGCGACCACGCTTGATTCGGCTAAAAGACGACCATTCATGTGTGCAAGTGAGAGGAGAGAGAGGACGAGCGTCCGTGCCACCGAATGCTCAAGATGAGCCACTCAGGAAGGTTTGACAACACAGATCTGATTTGAATGCTTTTATCTTTCCTTTCATTTACATTTAATTCTTTTTGCAGATGCACAAAAAACAACCTGAGGAAACGAAGAGAAGCGGCAATGCATCAAGACATTCGGATGAACAAGAAGTCTTGAAAATGAGTCAAGTTTATTTGTATTAGCACATTTCAGAAACAAGGCAGTTCAAAGTGCTTTCCGTCATAAAAACATCATAGTCACCAACTGTGAAACAGGAAACATACATTACATTTTGTCAAATCCATCATCAAAATTATTAATGCACATCTAACATGTTGATCAAGGTTCCACTTATTACTGATGAATAAGACAATCAGGGATAATATATACCATCACTTTCCATTAATGCAGAAAGAAACAATCTCTGTACATTTTTAGCAGACAATTTAGGTGTAACAGAGAGATTTCCAACAAATTCAGTTAGTAAAAAAATATGGAAGATCAAAGAAAGACAACAAAAACTGGACGAAGCTGCAAGAGTGGAGATAGAAAAAAACAAGAGTGTTGAAATGTGAGAAGGTACAAAAGAGTTTGAGTCAATCAGAGTGCTTTAGTCCTTTTTCCTCTTTCATGTCTTCTAGCTCTTCTGAGGCAGATTGGCCGGAGGCGGTTGGCACCGTGTTGGTTCCCCCGAGCCAGTCCCAATGGGAGAAGAACGGGGCAAAGTTGGTCCCCGGTCGCTGGTGATGAGCGTCATGCTTGGGGGCCCCGCCCCAAAGGCCAAAGGGCACCAGGTTGTGCATGGCCCAGGGGAAGTCGTAGCCACAGTGGTCCTCGGTGGAGACGTAAACGTTAAAGACCATGAAGCCCCAAGTTGTGAGGCAGTGGCACCTTAGCAGGATGGGGTCCACTGTCGCCCAGAATCCCACGCTGAACAGCTCCCAGCCAGAGAGGTACTGGGTGACCAGGCTGAAGGGCTGGTTGTACTGGTGGTGGATGGCGTGGAAGGTGCGGTAAAGCCAGGGAACCCGGTGGTGCAGGAGGTGCCACAGGTAGTACTGGAAATCGAAGACGACCATGCAGCCCAGGATGCCGAGAAGGAAGCTCCAGAGAGAGGGGGCCTCCGGAGGCAACGGGGTCGGCGGCCTCCACAGCCACTGCGCAACCGCCGCGGGGAAGATGAAGAACAGGTGGTTATAGACGGTGACGCCCAGGGTGATCCAGATGTTAGGCCAGGTGACGGGTTTGTCCGGATGCAGCCGGTAGCGGTTGATGGAGGGCCAGGTGGGAGCCAGCAGGTCCAACGCAGTGTAAATACCAACCAGGACGAAGTAGGTGGTGACCGAGAGGACCACGGGGAAGAGCGGGCTCCTGAGCAGGTCGTGGTGGTTCTGGTGGAGGTAGTCCCAGATAGGCTGTAGGACCAAGGCATGGGACTCGCCCCCGGACAAATTTCCTACAGCCGTCAGCCAAGACAAAGCCTCAGTTCTCAGCAGCCTGCTTGCACTCATCACTGACATGCCGTTTCTCATCCAGAAATGACCAAGCCAAGGGGTATTTTTAATTTTCTTACAAGCCCCGAAAGAGGGTAAAAAGAGGTCCTGAACGACTGAAAAGATCCAATTGAAAAGGTTCAGCAATGGCAAATTGTCTGGTGATGCCGTGCCAAATTGGACTGGCGGACTGTCTTCGCCTCTTATGTATGTTCAAGCCCCACCTCCCTTCATCCCCACCACCCTCTGCATTCTAAGAGAAGGCTGTGTGTGAAGGCCCTTTTTGATGGGCGCCAGGACTGCAGCCAGGACTCAGGAGCCGGGCCACAACAGCTCTCATTTTTGACCCAAATCATGGAGCGAAAGCTTCCGCTTTCCTTGTGAATCTGATTTTGTCGCAAATAAAACCAGTGCAGGCCAGGAATTCGATTTCTGCTTACATGAACAATGACTAACAATTAAACAATTAAACACAACTCGTCATGTTGTATTTTCTCCCCTAATCCTTCATGTATTAAGCCTGTCAATGGATCTGTCACCCACAGTCTCAGATGATGAAACAAATACAGAATCCACACACAGACACACACACACACACACACACACATGCTCATACACAACATCATGAACCCCAAAGAGTCATTAATCATGGAGGAAGTTGTCATGTACTGAAAAGAAGCGGACAGAAGTGGGGCAGCGACTGCAGCTCTCGTCTCTATGGTGTCACAAAATAATCCTGCAGAATTTTGACGTTTTGATGAATATCATGTGATCCAATGTGCTTCACTGTTCTCCACTTGTTCATGTTAAAATTAATACCTGTCACTTTGGACTATTTCTTACTCAGACAAAAATGGATATAGCACATTTTTGTGCAGTGAAAGACTGTCTGTAATCCGTTGTACCAAAATGATGCCTCATCTGTAGACTATGTTATGTCTGCCTGTGGATTAATTCTCCACTCTTTCTGCACAGGAGTTTTGAAAAATGTACTCACTTTTTATGAAGGTTGTTGATTAAAATTGTTGCCAAAGCCCACCATAAACAACCACTGTTTAACATCCTTATTTCTCTTTGTAAGGAATTTTATAAATTCTTTATCAAACAGCGACATTGGCAGCTGATCACAGACCAGGCCATGTTACTTGACTCTGAGCAGAATATTTTTCATGTCGACCAGCAGAGGGCAGCAAAAATCCACTCCTGAACAAATATAGGCACTGAAAAGTTTTCATTTGTGAAATAAATTAAATACAGAAGAGTTCATCATACTGTGGCTTTTTTTTTTACGTTTGTTAAAATTGTCACCATGTCGTGACTGTATTGTATGAGACTGATAATCCAACCAAAAACAACCAATCAGAGCCAGGAGGAGGGTCTTAGTGCTCATTTACTCCTGCTAAATGTGCTAAAGGCGGGAAAGAAACGACAGGAAAACCATTTAAAAGCCGTCATCGGCAAAGCTAACTATCCATGCTAGCTGCTAGCAAGAGGGGGAGGAGCAGCCTATATGCCTGGTTAGTGTTTTTGATATTGAAACAATAAAATAGCATAACATCGTTATGACTGTATATTCAAAACTCAACTTTATTTTAAATTAACAGTGGTGTAGAAAAGTATTTGGAGTGGCGTATGTTTTGTTTTCTTTACAGGCTTTAAAGTCTAATACTTACAAGTGTACATTTAATACTTGGACATGCAAGAATCATGCACTCAACACTGCAGTGAATCCTAAACATCAAGCAAATAGTTCAAAGTTTAATGAATGTAGTAGTAAGTATTTTTTCTACTAAGTCTACTAGTTAAACAGGGATAAACTTGTTGGTGTTATTTTTCATGCAGGAATAAACTGATCAATATTTTTATTGAATTTGATTGGGTTTTTTCCCATCAACGCCTCAACGCATGCAAAAAACCCAATCGCATGCTGAAATCTGAAATCGCTCAGAGTTGACTGAGTTTTGCTGCAGTACCAGTGTTTGGGGTTTAACAGGTTGCTTCCTGCTCATTTACCATCTGCAGCTCTGAAGGGGAAACAGTTTCATCACCTTTAACAAATGGAAAATGATTGCCTTCATGGCAGTGGGAAAAAATAACAAAACAAAACAAAAAAGAAAAAGGTTGAAGGTGCACCTGACAACTTCCATCCCTGCGGTGCAGACAGAGGTGGTTGAAGGCTGAAGAGGGTGTTACTCTCCCCTGTCAGCCGTGACAGAGGAGGAGCCAGAGTGTTGGAGAAGGACCGTCAGACACGAAATGACAAAAGGAAGCGAGCTGGAGACGCTAAAAATAAACCCAGCAATGAGAGCATGACAACTCGGAAACACAAGGTGAAACTGAGAAAGCGGCGACGAGACGAGGACAACGGCAGGGCAGGTTTCGATAGTCCTAATGACCCTTCCTTCTGGTTTTTATTGTATGCATGAGGAAAGGTTGGGCAGGATTCATAAAAGCACTGAATGAGGAGGAATAAGTATTGGACATGTTGTGATGAAGATGTTGGGTTCAACTTAAGTTAAGAAAAAATAAATCAAAACATATAAGCAAATTATGTGTACTGAGTGGAATAACTAAAATAACAAATATGGACACAGATCAAATGGGTAGAGAAGTTTGAAAAGGTACTAAAGTTACAGTCCATGAAACTATTAGGAGGAGGTGAAACCACCAAGAAGCAGCTGTTTGATGTCGTTAGCAGCATAAAAGACTCACAACCTGTAACTACTAACATGGCTAAGACCAAAGAGCTGCCCAAAGACACCAGAGACAAAATGACAGAAAAAAATCATACGTTGTGATTTCTGGATTTAAAAAAAAATTGTTTAGATTATGTCTCTCTCAGTTTACATGCACCTAAGATGAAAACTTCAGACTCCTCAATGAGTTCTAAGTGGGAGAACTTGCACAGTTGCAGGGTGTTCAAATACTTATTTTCCTCACCGTATGTTATGTTACCAGATAAGTTCTGTTTAATCCTTTTAAAGGATTTCTGTATTTGTGTGTTTGATGTGAAAAATTTACTTGCATTTGTTTTTTGTAGATTTTTAACTTCTATTTACAGTTACAATTTTTTTTTTTTTTTTGCTTGCGTCATTTGGTGTTTGCATCATTCACATGTTTGCAACACGTTTCGCCATTCATTGCAAGTTTAGAACCTGTCGGGCCACCGTAGGGAAAACATAATAAAAATAGCATCACAATCTTTCCTCAGTGGCATAGTCAAAGTCCAGGATTAAACTGAGATGTGTAAGGCTATAAAAAATACCACATAAGTTCAACTAACAACGTAATCAGACTGTTGGAAAAGACATGAAACATGAATCAAGATGAGTGGAACATTTGTAATGAACCCCATCACCGACAGCAGGAAGAGGTCTCAACCCATCCTTCTGTTGAAGAAGAAGAGTAGGAGTCGCATCTGGGATGTAGCAAGTGATGCAGACGTGTGTGTGTGTGTGTGTTTGTTTGTAATACCTTGTGGGGACGATTTTCCTGACATATACTACGTTGTGGGGACCAATTGCTCCTTGTGGGGACCGGAGCCTGGTCCCCACAAGGGGAAACCCTATTTTTGGGTCAGAGGTCAGAGTTAGGGCTAAGGTATGAATTGAGTTTTGGTTAGGGTTAGGTATGTGATGGTTAGGGTTAGGAAAAGGGTAAAGGTAAGGTTTAGGCTGAAGAAATGTATGGAAGTCAATGGAAAGTCCCCACAAAGATAGCAACACAAACATGTGCGTTTGTGCGTGTGAGTGTGTGTGTGTGTGAAGGCCCCTGTGTGACTCAGGCCCTGATCAACTCCCACTGGGTCTCCTGGGTTGCGCCGGTGCATGTTTTGTTTTTCACTTAAGCACACTGATTAAATCTGGAAAGATAGACAGTTACCATGCGCTCCTCACCTGTGGAATTAATTATCTCTCCGAAGAGAGAGGATCGCCCGCCCGGCTCCTTCTCATTTTCGAGCAAGCCAGCTGCAGCACGACATTTGAGCAGGATTCTGACGAGGTTGGCGGAACGTTCTCTCGTTCGCGAGCGATCGAGTTATCTTTCTTATTTTGATCGTTTGTCCCTTTTTTTGTTTGTTTGTTTTGTTTCCAGGGGTCCACAGGAGTTATCTTCCAGCAGAATGCCGAGCCAGCTTGAGGGTGCAATGGGCGCGCTGATAACGGTTTTCTACAACTACTCTGGAAACGATGGCGATAAACACAAGCTCAACAAGGGCGAGCTGAAGGAGCTGCTGCACAGCGAGCTCACAGACTTCCTCACGGTAAAGTAGACCCACGCTGCGGACATGGATGTGGTTTCCCTCCGATTTTTATGCAATACATCAAATTTCTTGCTTCAGATTGCAGACTTACATTAACAACTCCATTAAGTTTCTTGTTTCTACCCAGCTATATGATAAGTGCAGTAACTTGCTTAAGGATATTTGGCTCTTTGGAGGAAGAGACATTTAATTAAGCAAAGCTGTTTTTCAGATAATTTACCATTCTGACCTTGCGAGAGGAAATTGATTTTCACCGATTGCTATCCTGCAGTCACAGAGTGGACCCGCTGCTCTTACATCATCGCATGTTGACAGAGTAAAAGGGCGGGGAGGGGGAGACAAATAGGGTCATTTGAGATAAGTCCAGATTCTGGGTTCGTGCGACAGCGCTGCGGAAAGCCTGCAATTCCCAATGATTGAAGCCAGAAACGACCAAGCGCCTCAAACCTCAGACACCTTCAGACGTCTTTCTCTCCGCCGCTCATTCTCCTTCCGTCCAGGCGGGCAGGAAGCCTCAGGTGCATATAAATCACAATCAGCGTCACCGTCATCATGAGTGGCCCCCATATCGGCTCCAAATATAGACGTGATGTCACCACGGCCCTGTGAGCCACACTCACCCTTGAGAAAAAGATGCAACTGGGACAGGACGTCCACCGTCAGCTCATGCCGAGAGAGACGTTTGACCCCCAGCCGAGACGCAGGACTTGATGGATTACCGTGTGTTCAGTACAGATGCTGATTAAAATGCTTTTGGGGTTTTTAGTTTTATGTTTGCTGTTAGGTTTTCCTCCAACTTCCCCACCGCTGACAGAGCTCGGTACAGATTTGTTAGAGTCCGGGAGACGCGGCCAAATTTGATTGGTTGAACTTAAGGGCAATCACAAATGATTGGTTGTTATTTGCTAAGATGCAGTTTCTGAACAAACTGAGCTCAAACAGGACGGAACAATTAAATTAGAAACGTCTGACTGGAGCTATTTTAGCAGAACTATTAGAAAATGATGATTCTTTACTGCAGTTTCTCAAAGCAAATTTGCCAATTTACTTAACTTGAATATTAAACTATTTAAAATCTTGCTGAAACCTTGAAATCAAGTGTAGTAGTACTCTCATTCCATGATGAGAGGACCCTGATGGTTTTGGGGTTCGAAGCAGCGGCTTAGTTTTCCAGACCTACTAAAAGACACTGACAAAATTTATTGCTTAAAAATTTTCATACCTTTGAACATATTTATAAATTATTTTCATTCGTTTTGACACGAATGTCAAAATGATTCATAGTTTTCTCAATAATCAGAGGAGAAAATCTGTCGATCAACCTCTT